GTTGCTCTTGAGTACTTTAGAGAGGTCCCTAACAGCAGACTTTCCCATCGCAATATGTTTTTTGATTTCCTGGCTGCTGGTGCCAAGAGTGTTGACTGTGGAGCCAAGCAAACTGAAGCTTTGAACAATCTCAATCTCTTCGCCATCCATCCCGATGCTACCAATTGGTCCAGTGGTGAGAATCTTTGTCTTTTTGACATTAAGCCTCAGTCCATACTGAAGGCTGCAGTCCTTAACCCTCTGCAGTAAGTGCATGAGGTCCTCCTCAGTTTCAGCGAGCAAGTATATCTTCATTTTATTTACAATCAAAATCATGAAGACTGTCAATCAGCCTCTTCCCTTCAAACAAGGGTAACAGAAAGAATGAACTTGCAAGCTTCATTTATTCAATACCAAGTGAAATTATTGTAGTAGATCTGGGTGAGGAATAGAATCAGTCATTTGATATCATCATTCTTTTTCCCCCTTAATTAATTCAGGAGTTCTGGTGGCTTAATAGTAAAGAGTTGCATTGCCAAACCAAAAGACACATGGTTTGAATCCACCAGCAGCTCCTTGGGAGAAAGATGTGCAATCTCCTCCAGAGCAATTTAATGCCTCTGAAAATCTGTTGGGAGGGGCAACTGTGAGTTGGTTCTGACTCAACGGCACAAAATAGTGATAATGAAAATAACAGTTTGATTCTATTTCAATAAACTCTAGGAAACTGTCAATCAATCAATATAATTATTGTTACTGCTTTGAATAAACACTGGTTGGTGTTCTGTAGCTCTAAACTGGCATGGGAGGGGGCTGACCATCTTTCTCCTACCTATAAGCTGCTGGATTTGAACTGTGGATTTGAACTTCCCTTCCTTTGGAATGGAAGTGAAACTTAACATAAATCATCAGAGTTCCCTAAGCCACCAGAGCTCCCTGAAATAGTGATTAGGGCTTCAAAATTCCATTATGATATAAAGTTCTATCACAAGGTTATTAAGCAGAGAATGCAGTTTACAGTTAAGGCTGTTCATGTTACCTAATGACTTGAATATTTCTTTATTAGCTCCAGCAGAACAGAAACCATTTTACCTACTTTGTGCAATGCTTATATTTTATGGTAAAGACACTTGGTAAGTGATTTGATTCTGATCATTAGTTTTAAAATTTTTGAATAATAATCTCATTGGCTTGAAGAGCTATTATGAAGATTTCATGAGTTAGTATTTATAAAGTTTAAAACAGAATCTAGTTTATTGACGGAAGACAGAAAAGAAGGGGAGGAAAGGTGTGTATTGCACTGAAACAGACGAGGGAGAGAACTGTTTAAAAGGGCCAAATGAATGGGTATTCTTGTCATTACAGAAGTCCAGAGTGAAGGCAGCATAGTGGAGTGGACTTGGTGGAGGGATTGCATTACAATGAAAGAGTTTTTCTTTTTCTTTTCAAGGAGAAGAGTGAATTGGGGGAGAGTGGGTAGGTAGGGAGAAAAGTGCAACAATGAATGACTGGAAACCCTAAGTCTGTGTAAACTTTCATTAAAATTAATTTTTAAAAACCCAGTATCTGGTTTATAGTAAGTGCTACATAAGCAGTTATGTAAAATAAATTTAAGGAGGAAGATCCTCAATGGGAAGGACAGTGGCTGCAACAATTAACTCAACATGCAATGTTGGTGAGGACAGTGTAGGATCAAGCTGTACTTCCTTCTTTCTGTGGTACAAGAGGTCAGAACTGACTCAACTGTACCTGACAACAAAAACATTTTATTTTATATTTTAACTCAAATAATTTTGCAGACTGTTGACCTAATGGGATACAAATTAGGCCTCAATTTGCCTGTTGGCTGCATGAACATTCAACTTTATCTCCCAAACTGTATGTCACATAAATGGTTATGTATGCAAATTTGTCATTCTGTCATCATATTTATCTCTTGTTGTCTAGGCAGCTCTGGGGGGCTGTCTAGTGGTAAGAAATTGCACTACACTCTTAAAGGTGCATGATTTGAATCCACCAGCTGTTTCACAGGAGAAAAACTCCCTTGTGATTTATTGTCTCTGAAAACCCAACGGAGCGTCATCACCTATGATGACAGCAACTTGTTGGCACACAATAAACATAATGCAAATATACAAGGAGCTCTTCATTCTCACCTCATTTATTTGGAAAAGAATTAATTTCTAAAAAGTACAACTGTGCTTCTGGAACAAGAGGCAAAGGTCTCAAATAAAAATGTTGAATTGTATAGATGTCTGCACTACTGTCACAAGCTCCATCACCAATATAGTTTCAGCAACAGCCAAGTTCTTAAATGTACTTATTTTTGGAAATTGCAATTCAGAATTAACCATTCACAGATGTAGATATTTGTTCTTTGCACTCACCCATATTGTCTCCTCATTAAAGGCAGTTTGGTTTATCTCAATGATAAATCTTTAATTAAGATATATATTCCTCTAAAGCAAAAATCCTTTTCCTTGTAGTTTTTTTAAATTTTTCTATTTTTTTTTTAAATTTTTCTAACCTCTCATTAACTTGTGTCTTTGTGTCTATGTCTCTTGTAGGAAACACTGATAGACTATTTTATCCAGGCTGCCGATCTCTGACTCTTAACTCATGTATTTATTTACATTTAGTATGATTGACTATGTTGTTGTCGCATACCATAAGAGTCAGAATGGATACCTTCTGGTAGGTTTTTGGAGGCTGTTAATCAGACGGGAGGAGATTGTTCATCTTTCTCCCATGGAGCAGCTGGTGGCCTTGAATTGCATGCCTTTGGGATTGGAGCACAACTTCTTGTCAGTAGGCATGAATTTTGCTGTCATTGTGTGTGTGTGTGTGTTAACAATTTCTTTTTCTTTCCTCTTAATTTTCCATGTTGAGTTATTTTCAGATATGGATTTTCTTTTCCTATCAATTTTGGTACTTATTGTTATTTGTTAAAAAGTATTTTTAAATAGGCAAATTCAAGCTGAAGCTGAGGAAAATTAAACCAAACCCACAGGAGCCAAAATATGACTTTGATTTCATACCACCTGAATTT